TGGGCCCCAAATTCGTGGTGTTTCACCGGGGGGCCCTCCCTTTTGCCAACGGGGTTTGAAGGGCCGGTGAACCCAACCGCCTGGGGCGTACGCTCAAACCCAACCCCAGGGTGAAGGGGGGGCGGCGCCAAAGAGGCGGGAAACCTGGGTCCCTGCGCTCTGCTGCGGGGGGGGTGGGGACCCCCCCCCCAGCAGCAGCGTTTTGTTGCTGGGGGGTCAGACCCCCCCCCCCCCCCCTAGCAGCAGGGGAGCAATGTGCGGCCGCTCCAGGTGAGACGTCTCTGTCGCTCACGGGTGTTTCGTCCCTGTCTCAACGCTGTCCCCCAAGTGCGTCTCAGTAATGTCTCACATACTCTCACCGATCTCTGTGTTGTCTCAGCCTGGTCACAGCAACAGTCTCACTTTGTCTCAAGGGTGGCACAGTCCACCTTCAGAGACGTGTTTGAGACACCCGTGAGACAAATGTTCACCCCTGCTGTGTGACGATGTTCACCCCTGCTGTATTTCGGGTATTACCCGCACTGGACGCTGGAGATCGTCGTGGGTCACTGGTAGGCCTTCCTTATTGTTGTTCAGCTGGCCTAACGTTAGCTACTGTTGTTGGGGAGCCCAACTGTTGTTCTGTTGTTACTGTTAACACTAGCAACACTGTTCAGCTCTTAACGTTTGACAGCTCTACCCTGCTGTGTGACGATGTCGTCTCTAGCTACTACGTCTCGTCATTTCATCTCAGAGCGTCTCACACTCGTCTCACGGTGAACAAGCGGCGCTCCTCGTCTCACTCGGTCTCACAACGGCATAGTTGCTGCGCCAAGCGACTCGTCTCGCTTTGCTTCTGAGACAGCGCTGAGCCACAATGAGACACGGCGCAGAACGGGTGAAGCCATCGAGTACCCCCAAGCCAGATGCTAGCCAGTTGTAGCGCGGTCGGCAGAGGGGTGAGGGCGGCGACAGCATGGGTGGCGGCGAGCCGGCGAGGTGGGTGCTCGCGTGGGGAGGGCAGCGGTGGCGTTGGCACAGGCGGCGCCGGCGGCGGTGTCGGCGGCGGCGTGGCGCGTGGGCGGCGGCGTGGAACCGCGGTTGTGGGCAACGGTGGCGAGGGCGGCGGCGGTGCCTAATCAAGGGCGCCGGCGGTATGTGGGCCAGGTGTGGCAGCGGCAAGGGCGGTGGCGGTGAGTTGGGCGGCGGCGTGGGTAACGCCACGGCGAGGTCGAACGGCGAGGGCGGCTGTAAGGGCTGAGGGGGCGGCGGCGTGGGCAATGACGTGGCGAGGGCGGCTAGGGGTGGTGTGGGCGGGGACAAGGGCGTGTGGGTGACGTGGGCGGAGGCGGCGGCGGCGAGGGGTGGGGGGGGGGCGGGCGGTCCCGCGTGGGGGGCGTGCGTGGCGGAGGGGCAGGCGGCGGTGGTGCCCCGGAGGCTGAGGGAGGGTGTAGAGGATGTAGAGTGTAGAGCGCTGTATGTAGAGAGAGCTGTAGAGATGTAGAGCGCTGGAGAGCGCTGTAGAGCTGTAGAGCTCTACATCCGGCGCGGGACGAACTGCGTGCGTTCTAGAGCGATGTAGAGGCGCTCTACAACGTGAAATCTCTACAGGGGTCCCGTACCGGAATCGACCCTATCCAGTGCTCAAGTCCTCAAAACAAACTCTTCAGGCAAAGCGGCGCACTCCCCCAGGAGCAGGACGCCTTCCCTCTGTGCGCGATAGAGCAACCGTTTAAGCCAGAGAGCGCGATTATGCTTGGGGTTCGTCTACACTCACCGAGACCCGCCAGGCCGCACCTCAGACACAGCTGAGTTGAGTCTCCCCAATCGCCACTGTCTCACAATTACGTCTCAGGTTGGCTCAGCATGGTCTCTAACGGACCCGAGACGACTCAAATCTCAATCAAGCAGCGGCTTGTGGCGTCTCAAACCCCCCGCCCTGCGCCACGTCTCATTGTGGCTCAGCACTGTCTCAGACGGAAGTGAGACGACTCACTTCGCTCAGGAATTGTGACGTCTCAGCCCAGCCGTGAGACTGAGTGATACGCGGCCGAAAGAGACGAATGTGAGACGCATCTGAGACGCACCTGCGCGACACTGACACTCAGCACTGTGACAGCAGAGAGACGCTTGGAGAGACGCAGAGAGACGGAAAAATCATGCAGCAAACATGCAAGTGAGACAGGGACGAAACACCCGTGAGATACAGAGCGACGTCTCACCAAAATTTCCGGTTAAAAAAAACGGGAGGTCGTATTAAATTCCTGGTATACACGCGCGTTCGACGCCGCCGTAACCCCTGGGGTACTCTCTCGGGTCATGTTTCTGTGTGTGTGAGCCATGTACTTGTGTACCTCGAGATCTCACCCTTTACGATATCGAGGGGATATATGGCGCCGCACACCGGACGACGGCACAGACGCAATCACGCAGGCTGAATGCCCCTACGCAGTGTCGCCCGACGTTGGCGGAGAGAGCGCTGACATCTGGTTGAGGAGCGTGATGAGCCCGAGGCACGCAGCGTGCGTGCCGCCCAGCAGCCGTTTCTCAATCCCAGAGGGCTTGAGGTGAGGTGCATCGAGAGCGTCGACGACCTGACGGATCGCGCCGCCGAGCTGCTGCCGATCCGCTGTGGCCGCCGCAGGCCAAGCAGCACGAGCGGCGTCATAGCGCACGCTGCTGCTCGTCTCTGCGCACGCGGCAGCCACGGCGGCCGCACTCGAGCCATGCAGAAGGCTGTGGAGTGACGACGCTTCTGCGTCGGCGTCGAAGCGCTCCTGCGACGCCTCCTGTCGCCAGATTGCGTCGCTCTCCGCAACAGCAGCGAACGAGTTTTCCGGTGCCGTCTCGATGGCCATGCCTCCGAATAGCGCGCCCCAAGTGGCCACACTCGAGCCTGACGCGAGTGGCGGCCGGTTAAGCACGCGCCGTTAAGCACGCGCCGCGCCCTGGGTTCGGACTTTTGCTGGGTATGGTATGGTCACTGCGGCGCCCGTCGGAGTAGTATTTTTCTTCTTTTGTGTGCCTGCTTCTCTATGTCCAGCACAGGGCGGGCGCGCATCACTCATCACTCATATGTCCGTCCGCAATGGACTAGCGAGATACGAGGAACATTTTCATGTGCATGTCATGTCCGTGAGAGTCCGTGCTTTTAGAACAAATTTGGTGCTCCTGGACTGCACAACGCTCGTGCCGGCGTAGAGCTGCACCTCCCCCCTGCCGTTCGTAGCAACCTGACTGCGGTACCCGTTGCTGATGTCGCGCGTGCCCTCGACGGGCTGCGTCTCCTCCTCCCAGGACGGCCGCCGCGCGTCGACATCTCTGTCCTCGACCGCAAAGTCGACAACGCGCCCGCTGCGCATCGTGCGACTGCTTGCTGTTGTGCTCAACGCAAGCATCAGCCCCTGTGCGCGCTCTACCTTTGTCACCCACGACTTCGTCTCCCGAGAAAACAGGCTGCGCAATACGTCACGCACCACGCTTCCCGGAACCTCGAAGTCTTCGAACCCCGCCGGCGACGCCAGATGACTCTCGTGTCCCGGCATGTGAAGGCGCCCGCCTGGCCGATACCAACTGGCAAAGACCTCCTTCGCCGCTCGCATCAGCGCGACGTTCACCGCGCCGCCCCGTCCGAGCAGCGCGACGGCGACCGCGTTCGACGTATCGCTGTACCACTCGCTGAAAGTCCTCGCGTTCTTCGTGATCGCCGTCACGTCGCCGCCGGCCGCAGTGATTGCGAACGTGACCGCACTGCGCAGCTCTCGCACGAGCTCGATGGTCATGCCCTCGCGCCGGAACTCGTTGAAGTAGCCGCCCATGGGAAAGGTAGTCTCGCCCGGCACGCCCACCGCCGCCTTGCGCCCGATCGCGTTGAAGAAACGAGCAACGTCCGTGCCCGTCATGTGGGACCGCCTCTCCTCATCAAACACGCTCACCCGAGCGCCCGTGTGCAGACGTAGTACGACTCCATCACCCCGAGCATGGACTCCTCCTTTCGCAGGTAAGAAGCCGCCCCCGTGTACTGCTCGAGCTGCTGCGTCTCCCAGTGCACGAGCACGTCCACTCGCGCCCGCTCGAACACTCCCTGCGCGGCTCGCGGCACCAGCGACGTACCAGCACCGAGGGCGTTCAGCGATCTGCCAGCGTACTCCTTCGCACGTTGCCCGCGGCGTGCCGCCTCGCGCCCTTCACTGTCCGCATCTCGGAGCTGCTCCTTCTCGCCACCACAGTTCCAGCAACTCGTCGCCCGTGCATCGTTCCGCGTCTCGCGCCGGCAGTAGATGCACTGCCAGTGGGTGAGGCGCCGATCCATCCGCCTCGACTTGCTTGCTCGCGTCGGCCCGACGTCGACCCTGCGCTTGTCTTGTGTGATCGCGCCAGCCTCCACAGCGACATCCGCAGGTTGTGTCCCGCCGCCGAACTCCCTGCCTATCCCGTGGAGCTGCCAGCCGATCGGCTGCAACGGCCCGGTGTACATCACCACGTCGCCGACCGGCGCGGACAGCGGCTGCAGTATCACCACCGGCGTGATCGTTCCTCGCGAAGTCGTCGACAGCCGAGGTCTCGTGAGCCACTCGTCGGTTCCCTGCGGGAGCCGCTCCTCGATTCGTTGCGTCTCCGCTCGGTCGTCCATCGCCGCCAGCCGCCTCGGGTAGCGTTCGGTCGCCAGCTCTCCAGCTCGTCGTTTGGTCACCGAGGAGAGGGAACGAAAGCACACCTCAAACTGCAGGACGTGCATCCTGGACGCATCCCCTCCTTGTCCCACTTATCGAATTTGTGCAGGCGAGAGTACTCGTCCGAATTCCGGCGTTTTTCATAATCTCATCCTACTACGCTACTAGTACCCACCCCCGCCTGCTGACAGACCCAGCCTCCGCGGGTAAGGACCAAACCACCCCACCCTTTGGGCCGCGAGGCAACCATACCATACACCATACCCCGCGAAAAGTTGGAACCGCTGCTGAGCGCACGATGTCTTGGTGGAACCGGCGCACGGCTCCCGTCATCCAGTTGGTCGGTTTGGCCGGCCTCGCTGCTCTCGCTTCTCGGGACGTCGACCGCACGATGCGTGCGAATGATGTTCCGGTCACAAAAGATCAGGAACAGGCGATCGCCCACGATCTACAGGCTCGACGATGGTTCGGAAGATGAGCAATCTTCCTGAAATGTCCCGAGTTTCTCGGGCCGTGAGCGCGGCCTGTGTCGGCGCGGCAGCTTTGCGCTGAGCCGCAGCTCGGCAGCAGCAGCAGCAGCAAAAAAAGAGCCCGCCACCGCAGCAGCATCGCAGGAGCCTACCGGCAGCAGAAGGATGGTGTCGCCGGTGCTGCTCGTGTACGAGCCAAACGGCCGCATGAGCTGCCAGCTCGAGCTCATCAAGAGGGACGGGCGAGAAGGTCTTGGCGGGATTGAGCGGCAGTATAACACATGCTCGAGCTGCCCGCATGGGGTCCTTGTCTGTCGTCTCATCTCTGGTCCTTCGTGACCTAGCTTGTGCACGAGGCGCGACGGCCGGGCGCGTGTGTGTTAAAAGCGAACCAGCCCCGGGGAAAAGCATTAAACGCTAATGAGTAATGTTCGCACACACGCGGCAATCTGGCCCCTCTGCCACAAGTTTTGCTTTGTGGGGGACGCCCCACCGCGTACGGCTTTAGTGCGTAGAGACGGTGTCTACGGAGGGGTAGAGTGCACGGTGCTCGGCGTGGAGTCTCGAGAGATCTGGCGCGCAAACATCAAAAGTATCATGAATCGGGCCCGGCTAGACCTGCCACCGGAGGCGCACAAAATGGAGACGATTTTGTGGTGATAAAGCGCGAAAGATGCGGGACTAAGATGGCCAGAACGGGGCGCCGCGAGCTCGGGAGCGCTCGCCACTGCCGCAGGCCAACTCCTCCCCAGCAACGGTGCGTGCGCGTGCGCTGAGGTTGAACTCGATGCCGCGACTTCACAGCCTCCACCGTGAAGCTTCCAAAGGCTAGTGCCATTTCACTCTGACACGCTTATCTTGAAAACGTCTCCAACGGAGCGCGCTCCGTGTTGCTTCCAGCGCCCTCGCCGCTCGCCCCCGCGCTCCCTGCGGCCATGGCCGATACTCCTAGAGTATGAGATAGGTCATCGGGCTACGGCTTTACCGCGAGAGCGACCCAACTCGTCGACATCGTCCGATGATGGCTGCCGCATGCGCAAAGTCGGCCTTCGCGCGGAGGCTATCGTGGATTCGTGGTCGTGGGGTCGAGCCGGCAGTCGCCAGTCCCAGCCGTGACAGCCGCGACGTGTGCATGGACATGTGCATGGACATGTTGTGTGGGGTTCCCCCCTCCGCGTAGGCTCTTTGCCTCTGAGAGTTTTTTCAATCACGTGTTGTACTCAGAGGGCCTCCGGCGCAGGGTTCGCACGAGAGAGGCATGGCACCAGTCTCATCCTCGTCGCCGCCGTATCTCACAAGTGCGGTGCTAACAAAGGCGTCCAATCGGCTCCTCTCCCCCGCCACCGCCGCGCCAAAGGGCGGCGCGCCGCGCGCCCAAGCGTCCCGCGTCGGCGCGTCGCAGTGCGAGACAAGCCACGCCTAGCGAGAGGAAAGAGGACATGTCCGGGACGCGTCCGTGCACGGTCCGCGCGGGCGCACCGCGTGCGGCGAGAGGGGATGGCGTACCCAGTCTGCGGGCGAGAGGCTCTGCAGCGCCACCCCCTCCCTCCGAAGCAGCGCGAGCCTACACTCGCAGACGCCCCGGCCCGGT